ATTCGGACCTGTCCCCTTACTCCACTCTGCGCGGCGGGACCCACGCGCCTGGAGTGGGAGCAGTAGCTCCCGCCTTAGGTTATCCCATCCCCTCCCCACCCATCTCCAAGGATTCCCTGGGCTTGGAAAGGGCGAAGCGGCAGGGGCTTGACAGTCCCCTCCTCGCCAGAGGTAGGGTGGGGACAGTGCGGAGGAAGGACGTTTGTATTTTGCCAAGGTGCCAGGGCCGCTCTCTTTGGGGAGTGATTCGGGCACAGATGGAGGGAGGGAGAGCCAGAGAGAACCGGAGAAAGAGGCCGGAGGAAGAGGAGGAGCAGCTCTTTGCGCCCAGGGCAGTAAATCAACCTTCGCCCGCGGTGGGAACGGGCTGGCCAGGATTCCGGTCTTCCTGTGAGTCCCAAGTGGGGAAAGTTGGGCGCCAGAGACGCTGGGCGTCCCTGACTTGCAGGGCCTTGGCGGGAGCAATCGCCCAAAAGGAGCGCGGCCCAGCGGCTTTCCCTGGAGCTCCAGGCAAGCCGTCTTGGGAGGACGAAATTAAAATGCCCGGACGTAAGGGAAATCCAGCCAGGAAAGGCTCGCCCAGCTTTGCCTGGACCCCAAAGTCGGGGAAACTGAGGCCAGCAAGAGCACCAATAGTACAGCCACCATTGAAATTGCGCTCTCGGTCGGTGGCCGTGGCCCCCGCCCTCTACTGCACTCGGAGATGCACCTACCCCCTCCCCAGCCCATTGTTCCTGCGGATCTGGGAGGTGCCTCCCCACACGCACTGCAGTGATGGGGGAGTGCGGGTGGGGGCTGGGGGATCCTGACTTGACTCACTCCTGGGAGGGAGGTGCAGAGCCCAGGCAGTGCCCAAACACCAAGCACCCAGAATCTGTCCCTCTCCCTCGACCTTCCTCAGCGGTCAGGCTCCGGCAAGGGTCTGACAGCTGTCTTTGTCTGAACACCCCTCAGCAGCTGGATGGGCTCATTTTTCCTCCACCTTTTTTTCTTTAAATTGGAAAACAAAATTTAGGATGATCCTAAGGGGTGTCAGAATTGCTAAAGCTTGAGAGTTAGTGAGCTAGTTTCTTGTCTGTCAGGCTGAGATAAAGTGTGGGTGGTTGAATCAAACAAGGTTGGGCATAGGATTTGTCAAATCAGAATTGCAAGCACAGTTGTGCACCCACTTCTCGATACCGTTTTGTCTTATAGAATCATTCAGCACTCCTACTCTACACACACACACACACACACACACACAACTGGTAGACATCCCCACCCAGGACAGGGAAACAGAGGTGTGCTGGGTCACCTGCCACCACTCACCGGATTCCGTTAGAACGTTTCTTTGCTTCTAGTGAATTCAGGTGCACGGGTTTAGGACACAGCAACTGGAAGAGCAGGCTTCCCCTAGCAGCTCACTGTGCTTCTCCAGGGTGCCATCTCTTTATCTGCAAAATGGGAGATATTAATAGTATCTCATAGGAGCAGAGTCTGTCCCCTTCCACATCTATTTTTAAGGTTTCCTCATTTCATGTTGTGTGCTGGGCAATGAACATACATTATTTTATTTTTTTAAAGCCTCTTAACTCCTGTTACCAGCATTTTCTTTACTGGTGGGATATTTAAACAAAGATTTAATGACCTGTCTGAGGTCCCACATCTAGAAGTGTTGATTGGGATGCAGACTATCTGATTCCAGGGCTGGATATGGTCAGTGCTTGCCATCCTATCTGGTACGTGAAGTGGTTGTGTTTCAGGTTATTTCAAGGATGCTACTGGTACAAAAGAATGAATCCCACAGGCATCAAACTATGTTGGGACTCTTGTACAGTGGGACCCCTGGTTGTGGAGGTGCTGGAAATGCTGGGGTGGGGAGCAAGTGCCCATGAAACAAAAACGGCAGTATGTTGGTAGTTGTTGAAGCTGGGTACTGAGTAGATGATGGTTCCTTACTATTCATTTTGACATGTTTGCAAATTTCCTTAATAGAATATTTAAATTAGTTAGTTAATTTTCAAACTCGGAAGGATAGCCTTTAGTCTCTAGAGTGTACACAGTGGAAGCTGAAGTGATCCTCAGTCCCACGTCTTCTTCATGTCCTGAGATGTTGGCACATGGAGTCCCAGAAGAACAAGATGAATTGAGTGGGGAAAGTGGCAGAGTGGATAGCTCCTCTGGTGATGGACTTAGGGCAGGCTGGAACAGTGGACAGCCATTCATTTTCTCTGGGAATGGGGGCTGAGGAAACCAGTGGCGGGAAGGCAGGTTCCCGGGGTCAGGGTGTGTCTTGATGTGTTTTATTAGGCTTCACTGGTGGGTTTCTGTTTCTTACCAACTTGGCGTTCAGTGAAAATAGACATTTTGGTCATTGACATATATCAAGGATTCTGTGTATGCTAAAACCTGGGAATACTGAGTTGTCTCATTTAGCCTTGACCACACTTGTTGAATGAATGACTCTCTGGGCAGGGGAGAGGGGGTCTGAGGAGAATGCTGACAGATTTAGGGATGCACAGTTGGAAAGGGGCTGGGGAAGAGTAGGGACTGGCCTTGGGCCCGGGTGGTCAAGCCAGCAGCTTCTCCTAGCACATGCATGGCACATCATAGGCCCTCAGGAAATTGTGATGAGTGTCTAATTAAGTGAGCCCGTGACTAATACAAAGTATGGCGCCAAACTACAGGTGGAAGTGGAAAGGTGTTGTCTATGGCCCCCAAAGGAACCAAGAGAAGGTCAAGGTGATGCTCTGTGTTAGGGTTCTGGGGATGTGATCCATTTCTGTGCCTGCACCTGCCTCTGTAGCTATGTCCCCTGTACATGCCCTTCCCATACAGAGCCTTGTGTTTCCCAGAGCCCTAGGATCTCCCTTGGCCCAGACCCCTATGATCTCCTTTGACCCTCAGTGCATACAGTTCACCCTGTCGGGGACATCTCTCTTTGTCAATCAAACTCCTATTCATCCTTCAGATCTCAGATCAGGTAATCACTTCTCAGGAAGTCTTATTGGATCCATGTGTCCAGGTGAACTCTACCTGTGTAGTCCCAAAGCCTTTGGTACTTAGCCATTGGTGATGCCCTGGTGTTCATCATGTGTCTGTGATGTGCCCTTTTTTGCATGTCTCCCATTGACTTTTCCACCAACCCTGTGAGGCTGGTATCATCATTACCCCATTTTGCCACTGGGACAATTGAGGACTTAGAGAAATGTTGTGACTTGCCCAGACAGTAAATGCTGGAGTCAGGATACAAGTCAGTCATGGACCCCAAAAGCTTGTTTCCCTCAGTGCCTTTTCTCTTGACAAGGTCATGGAATGTGTCTTTCATTTCCATATTCTTAGTGAGGGCACATAGTAGGTACTCAATCGATGTCTTACTGTGTTGAATGACTGTCAGTCAGCAAGAGGAGAAAACACAGCAGTAGGCAATGGCATCTACATCCTGCCCCCTCCACAGTGGCACTTCTAGAAACTTGGATGCGCAGAAGTGGGCCAGGCTGGAGGGGGGAGGGGGGACTCTGAAGAGATGTGGCTTTGATTCCAACAAGGCTTTGAGTGACGACTCAATCTTGTGGGGGCGAAATGCTCTCTTGTCTTATAAATAGGCCTCTTTGGTAAGGGAGAGAGCTCTTTTATTACTGCTGTGCATAATTAGAGTGGCAGAGGAATCAGGGGCTTTTAATGAATGAGTAGCATGTGGCAGGGAGGGAGCCCCTGCCCCCTGTGGGCACATAGGCCTGGGCTGGGGCTGGATGTCCCAGGAGAGAACAGGGTAGGCCCAGGAGATACCCAGAGAGGAGGAGGCAGAACTCAGCAAGGAAACCGGCCCACAAAGGCCAGGCCTGCAGACCCTTGCTACATTCTTGGTATTGAGGATGACTCTGTCCTGTTCTGCCAGATGTTCTGTCACACGTATGGCGGGTAGAGGACCAGAGTGGCCTAGAGTGCCAAAACTCCAGCTAGATTTTCATTTCCTAGCCTGTGAGTGGGGTGCATGAAACCTGCCCAGGTCTCTCCTGCCCAGCCAAGACAATAGATGAGAGGAAATGGCTTTGCCATCATCAGCCTGCCCATAGGAGGAAGTGAGAGTGGCCTCCTTGCCTCTGCTTCTGTGCCCACAGGACTGCTGTTCATTTGCATGGCTTGGTGGTGGGTCAAGCTGGTCTGCTTGCTGGGAGGCTTTAGGAGAAGGGCAGATTGTGCTCTGAGTTTTCTCAGACTTGGGGCTACATGGGGACATGTTCAGATCCCGATTCCTTTAGACCTACAGTATTTCACTCTCTGAAGCAAACCCCTTGGAATTGGTTTAAGTATCCCCGGGCATGCCTCCCACACCTGCAGATCCCACAGTGGGGCAGAGGGTGGTGGAGTGATGGCAGCTCAACGGCCACTTAGGGGGCTGGGGGCATGCATGCTGGAGCTGTTCTCTTTGGCCAGAGGATGTCCCTTGCTGGGTTCAGTTACCTGAGTGGGTCTCCTTTTGGGATCACCTGGAGAACTTCTACAAAGTCCTGATGCCCTGACTGTGATCCAGTGGACAGTCAATTTTACCAGTTAGGGAGTCCCACACATCCAGTGTCAAACATGGGCACAGCTCCTGAAGGTAGGGTGGAGAGGCAGGGAGTGGTAGACTGGTCATTTCCTGGCTCAGGGATGTCTGAGTCAGCAAAGCTTTCTCAAGCTTCAGCTCTGTACCTGTATCATATATATGTATATATTGTGAGATGGGGTCTCACTATGTTGCTCAGGCTGATTTTGAACTCCTGGGCTCAAGTCTTCCTCCTGCCTCAGCCTCCTGAGTAGCTGGGATTACAGGTGAGTATGGCCACACCTGACTCTGTGTCATCTTATTTAATCTTCAGCATTATACCACAAAGTAGGTGATTATTCACCAGGGGAAACTGAGGCTCAGAGAAGTTATGTTCATTCCCCAGGAAACACGACTGCTAGGGATGATCAAGAGCAGAGCTCAGGGTTGTCGGTTATAGGCGTGTCATGTCATATTCTCAGAAGACTTTGGTTTCCAAACTTCAGCCACTTGAGAATCACCTTCCTGATTCACTTGGTGTATGGATCTCCCCCCAAAGTGATTAACTGATTCTTTTAAAAATCAATATACTGTTTTTCAAAAAATGAATTTATTTTAGAAAGACTATTTTTATCAATTCCATAAGTAGAAAACCTGTGTCCCTCGCCATAAATAGGGGGTAGCCCAGGAATAAATGCATGGGGGCTCAATTGAGGTTATTGCACTTCTAGGGGACACTTTTACCAATAGGAAGCTTTGAGTGGAGGCTGCACCCTGGGTCCAAAGGGAGCCTAGAAGTTTCTAGAGAGGATTAGGAGGAAACACCACACTGACATGTTCTCTTTGATGGAATCAGACTTGAACAGAAAGAGAAAACCTTTAGGACGTAGGGGACACATCGTAATTTTCCTTCCTGACCTACTCTGATTTGACCCTCCAGAAACATGGGACTGGGAATGTGTGTGAATCCTAAAGTCAGGAGGAACCAGGATGAGATGTACTGGTAGCCCATGTGCCACCACAGCCACATCCTGTCCACCAGGGACATGGGATCGTCTTCACAGGGACCCTGCACCAGTGTATACTGCTTTGGGGAGATTGGATAGAGAAGAAAGAATGTTCTATCAGAATTTACAGGGTCAGTTAGCTTGGATTCCGACCCTAGCTCTGGGATTCTGGACAAGTTACTTACCTGCTCCTTTTCCCCTCCTCAGTTTCCTCATCTGTAAAGTGGGAATAATCATAGTACACATCTCCGAGTGGATTTTATTTACCTACTCCCATATCCCAGGCTAAGTGCTGAGCACATTTCCTTGCATATGGGTCATCATTGCCACTATCTGCAATTGTTATTTAAACTATGAATCCCATGGAGGTGGGTGGGGCCATTATCTGTGGATGCATTTTGTTCAGAAGGCTCAGATGGGAAAGGGGCTAGCCTGAGAACCCCCAGCCAGTTAGGGGAAGACAAGAACCACAGCCCTTTTGTCCAGCAGGTCTAAGACCTTGGCGGAAAGCTGTGCATCTTAGACTGTTGGCCCCGTCACTTGGCCCTTTGCCACAGCTCCGAGCTCTCCCTGAGTTTTCTGATTAGGGCAGCCAGTGAGGTTCAAGGTCCTTGGCCTGTATCCAGTGCTGCTTGACCTCTGTCCTCAGATGGACTTTACCCCCACCCCCAGGCACACTCTGCCTGCAGTGCGGAGCCCCTTGTAGATGCTGCTCTGAGCTCCTGGGACCATCCTTCCTCCACCAGCCTTGACTGTGACCTGGAAGCTACAGATGTCCCCTGGGGCTGGCAGCTGCTCCACAGAACCCCTTCTGGGAAACCCTGAGCTGCAGAGTTTGGGCCTTGATTTTAGTGCCCTTATCTTTAAGAATGCTTGTGTCCTGTTTGCTGGGATAGTTCTAGTGTATGCCTCTTGTCCCAGTGAAATTATTAATAGCGCCTCCTTTCATGTTCTAAATATCTCCATTTGAAAGCTGTACCATGGGGTTGAGCTACTTTTCTTTGTCTTCTTCTCAGCCATGTGGGCCTCAAGTGGGGCAAGGCAGGCAGGAGGGTTTGGTTAAACTTGGACTTTGGGCTCAGACGCTGTGGGTTCAGATGTGTTTAGCCTCTGGGTTTAACACTGCTGCACCTCACTTTCTCCTGTGTAATCAAGGCTGATGAAAAATCCCTGCTGCATTGGGGTGCTGGAATTAAGTGAGAGGATCAATATGAAGTGCTTAGCAAGAGCTGGTATGAGGAGAGCTTACGGTAAGTGTTATTCTATATTGTCTTCATGAGGCTGATTTGGGAGGTTTAATGATCCCATGTGGGCTCCGGGGCCAGATTGCCTGGCTTCAAATCTGAGTTGTGTCCTCTACCTGCTCTGCAACCTTGGTCAGTTACTTAACCTCTTCAAGGCTCCATCTTCTCATCTGTAAAATATGAATTGTAATCATGTCTTCTTCACTGGCTTTTGTGAGGATGAAATGGATTCATTTGAGAAAAGCACTTACCACAGAACTGGGCGTGAAGTAGACACTAAATTAGTGCTAACTATTATGTTATTAGCTGTTGCTATAATTATGAATGAACATCAAGTTTATTCTTGGAAGGGAGGAGGGTTTATTCAATGTATTAGACTCCTGTTGCTGTTGAAAAGATTAACACCAATGTAGTTGCTTAAAAAAATATAAGTTTATTAGCTTACATTCCTGAAGGTCAGAAATAGGCCCCAAACAGGTCTCACCAAGCTAAAATCAAGGTGTGGGCAGAGCTGTATCCCAACTATGTCCTTACCTCTCATGGCCCCTTCTTCCCTCTCTGCTTCCTCCCTCCTCTCTGACTCTGCCCCTTCCCCTCCTGCCTCCCCAGGCCCCTGATATAAGTAAGAACCTCTTATAAGTCCTGCATGTGTGATTCAGGGTAATCTCTCCGTCTCAAGATCCTTAGTTCAACCATGCCTGCAAGATCTCTTTTGTCATGGAAAATAACAGAATCATAGGTTTGGGAATTAGGACATGGACATCTGGAGGGTGCTACTGTTGAGCCCAGCATAGCCAGAAAGATTGGGGTCTGCCTGGATTTAGGAGTGTTAGCTAGAGAGGCTCCTGCCTCCCTTGGGAGCTGTTGGAATGTTGGCGATGCTTCCTCCACAGTGTCTTACCTGGGCAGTTCCTCCTGCACCTGCTACATGTTGCCTGGTCTGAAGTTTGGATTGTTGATCAATCCTTGACTTTATCCCATTCAATGGGGTCCTAGGAGACACTGCTACTCTCCCAACTGGTTTAGTGTTTTCCCAGGGGTCCACGGCATCATTGAGATGAGAATGAAGACTTCTTGGCTCCCAAGCAGGGAAAACTATCAAAGTATTAAAGAATTAGGGGCGGGGGTTGTGGCTCAGTGGAAGAGTGCTTGCCTAGCATGCGTGAGGCACTGGGTTCAATTCTCAGCACCACAAATAAATACATAAAGGTCTATCATCAACTAATAAATAAATAAATAAATAAATAATTAGGAAAATATCTACAAAAAGCTTTGCATTCCATTTGCTCTTGCTATGTAACAAACCATCCCAATATCTAATAACTTAAAAATAATCATTTCATTTGCTCATAATTTTGTGGGCATGTCTCTGTTGGGTGGTTCTTTTGCTGGTCTTGCTTGTGCCTGTAATCATCTGGCGGCTCTGCTGGGCTGGACAGTCCCAAGATGGTCTCACTCACAGGCATGGGGGTTGGTGTGGGCCATGGGCGGGGCTTTTGGCCTCTGGGAGCCGCTGGAGCTTTTTTGATATGGTGGTCTCAGGCAGCAAGGGGGTGAGAGAGAGAAAGTTCCAAGATCTCTGAGGCCTTGCTGGGAAGGCATGTAAAATCACTTCTGCTACCTTCCAGTGGCCAGTACAAGTCAGCAGGACTGGCCAGATACAAAGGTGGAGAAGTGGACTCCAGCTCTCAGTGGGAAGCCCTGCAAGGGATCTATGACTGTGTTTAATCTAACAGAGTCAGCTTAACTAAACTGTTCAAAGAGTTAGCCTTAACAATTGCTATCACGTTTTAAAACAGCAGCTTGCTGGTTAAATCTTCTATCTTCCGAAGACCTGCGAGTGCACAGGTTCATTTTACAGTTAAAATTGTTGTGCTGTAACGTGCGTTTCCCAGGCAGGTGAATGGTGTTGGTGTGGGTGAAAGTTGTGTCGGCTTCTTTGTCGTTTTTCCCAGCACCTTTGTGTTTTTGTAGAGCAGGGTGCGCTTTCTCATGGTTAAAGAGTAACATATGAAGAACTGAAAAATAAAAAAATAAGTAAAAAGCTGAAAAGTTACAGATACACTTGCCTTTAGCACACATCACAGCTGCTTTTGTGATGTCCTTGCCCTTAAGGTCTTGAGGAGGCTGAGGCCACGTGAAGGAGCTGTAGGGACCTGCTTTATGAGAAAGTAGTGGGTGCAGGCAAGGCTCTGCATGGGTTTTAGCTCTGATAAGAATGTTCTCATAAGAAGCAAGACCCCCAGGCCTTTCAGCTCCAAGGAGGCACTGGAGCTCCTGGATGGTCTCGGCTTGACTGTGCCGGGATTTCTTTAGAGCTGTGTTGGTTTTGGGAACAGTTCTGGTAATGAGGTTCCTTAGGTGTTCAGCAATGTACACCATCTCAGTTTCCCCCGTGAATCCTGTTATTGGGAGTGTGTGGTTTTGTAGACGTGAAGATTTTCAGGAAAACATACGCATCATAGCAGAGCTGCTTGTATTTACCTTTAATGTGGGACGAGTGGGATGGGTACATTTGCTCAGTCCAGGAGCGGGGCCTTGCATGGCTCAGCTGACAGCAAGAGCCTCTGGTCACTTTTCTCATCTTCATCTCACATCTGAGTATCTGGAATGAACCTTGCCGACTGCTTTACTTCCCAGGTGTTTGCAAGCATTTGGGGTAGCTTCGCCTACCACTTTCTAGTTTTAATACCAGAAACTGAGGCTCCAGGAAGGTGGCAAGTTCTGCAGGATGGAGCTGCTGATCCACCCACCCAGCCAGCACCCCAAGACCTCAGAGGGAAGTGGGTCCGGCCAGTATCCTTTGTCTCCTCTAAACTGGCAAAATGACCTCCCTTGTTCCCTCCTGGTTTGTGTAAATCAGCCAATGTCTCCCTGATTTCTCTGTGACCAGGAACAGTGGTCCCTGTGCACAGATTCCTGGTTCCTTTTGAGACCCAGAGATGCAGGCATGTGGGCGGAGCCTGCTGACTGAGGCCTCTGGCCAGCCTCTTTTTGTTTTCCCTGAGGTTTTCTTGGGCTAAAGGCTAAATTTCTCCTGTCAGTTCCTTCCTTTTCCTTTTCTCATTGTTCATGAGGGACCATCTCTCTATCGGTCGAGACAGAAACCAGCACGAAAGTCAGGAGTCCCGTTTCCAAAGTTATTGTCAGAAAACAGAGCTCATGGCGGCAGGTGAACCTGGGTTGTCAGACACCAGGCGTGGCCCCGTCCTCTCACTTTACAGGTTGGCAAATTGAACTCAGGGAGGGAACAGAGAGCCTCAGACCACTTGGCAGAGCCCAGATAAGAATCCAGCCTGCTGATTTCCTCTACCTGCCTCCCAGCTGAACCCAGAGATGGCTCAGAATCCAGTAGCCACTGACTTCAATCAGTCAGAGATGGCTTGAGGATCCAACAAGACCTCTTTGCTGCTAATAAGTTAATGACTTGTCCCTCCCTGCAGAAGTTACATTTAAAAACATTGTCGAAGAAGTAGAGCTTAACCCAGAGACATGAGGTGTGAAATCAAATTGTTATGAATCAAAGAGACCTTCATGGTGGAGCCCAGGCAGAGCTTTCCTGTATGCATTCTTGTATAGTCCCTCACTTGACCTTGGACTTAACCTTGGTGGTTGCCTGTGTTTCTGTGCATTGTCCTTTGCACAGTGTCAGCTAAACAGCCATTCATTAGGGTTTTTGGTGGCAGATACTAGCCAGAGGAAGTAAAAATGGTAACTTCAAGTGAGCATCCTGGGGTGGCTGCTGGAGTGCAGGATTTGGGTGGTGACAAGTGTCGGGAGCCTGACAGTTCTCCTCCCCCTCCCTTACGTGTAGTAGGTAGCTCCTAGTCAAGGGCCATCCATGCCTAGAGAATGAGTGGGCAACCTGTTGGAAAGTTTGCTCTAAGTGTTTCATGCTGCACTGGGTAACTGGCCCTTTGGTCTGTGTTAAGGTACAGACCTATGCATGTTCTCCTGGAGCCTGCTGGGCCATGGTCTGTCCATGTGGCACTGGCCAGCTGGCCTCATTTGAGGAGACCATGGGCATGAGATCCCTGTAGTTTCCCTGGGCCAGCAGTTAGAGCATAGCTGCAGGGGACCCTCATTCATCTGCTGATACTGAATACATCATCTTGCCTTGGCAAGATGTCTTGAAGATTAGTGACAATCCATTCCTTCGGGTTGGCCCTGGTAGTGTTGGCCAGGACTCCTGCTGGGATAGGTGGGGGTGTGTGTCAAGGTTAGGGTAGGAAGTCATCCAGGGTCAGGCAGTCCCTGAGGAGAAGACCTAGCTGATGGAATGGGGTGGGAGGGACCCCAGGCCTGTCTTGAGGATACTAAGGCAGAGTAGGTTTCGGAATCCATCAGTGCTTGATTCAAATTCTGGTGTCACTTCTTCCTAACTGTGAATTCAGTCAAGTCGTTTGACCTCTCTGGACTTCAATTAAGTGTAAAAAAGCACCCAACACACCATGCCTGGCAGCTAGTATGGGGTGGGTGCTTAGTGGGGGGAAATAAGCTTAGTGGAATTAGAAAGTCCTGGTGGAGTCCTGACTCTCACACTGCTGGTCATCTGACTTTGGCCTGAGCAAGTGACTCAACCTCTCTGACCTGTGACCTCATCTGAAACATGTCATTAGCACAGGATGGTCCTGAGCATCAGATGATATAAAGTATATAAAGAACCTGCCCTGACCACAGAACACGGGCATTGTCGTTATTATGTAAAGCCCCGCTGGGCACACGAGGAGCTCAGGAGGGGCATATTAGAGAGTGGAACTGGCTAAATATGGGGGGGGGGTTTCTCTGCTGGGGAAAATTTTTAAAGTCAAATTTATGGAGGTATAAATTACATAAGTTGAAGCTCATGCTTTTTAGGCTTATAATTGCATGAGTTGTGACAAAGGCTTGTAGTTATGCAACCACCATGACATCAATATATAGAATATTTCCAACCTGGGAGAATTTCATCATCCAGGGAATTTTGCACACAGGATTTTTCTTGTCTGTGGAGGACCCCAACTCAG